GGAATTAGCACCCAATCTCTGATGGCGGTGTCGAGCACTAGATCTTCCGCCATGGCTGCCGGCTAGATCCAATGGGCGAGCTCTTCGAAAACGAACCACGAAAGGCGAAGCCACTCTACTATTCGAATGTTTTGGTGCTTTGGTCCGTCTATAGGAAAATTGGCCAAGGGAGAAGGGTATTATTGTCATTTCACTCTTAACCGAGTGGCGAGTACAGGGTTATTTCGAACGTCGAACTTCGAAGTACATTATTATCTAATTATATAAATGTGTTTAATGTTTGTGTCATTTTTCTAATTTATGTTTTAGGAAAAATAAAACAAAAAAAAAAAGAGTAATTTCATCTTGGCTAAAAATATAATTTTTGTCACTATATTTTCATTAACAATATAGTTAATGAAGTTTAGATTTTGTTATACACCTTCAAATTTTCAAACGATTCCGTTGTTGTAGTTTAATTTTTTTTTAACCGATTTAGTCTCTACCTGGTAAATTTTGTTGAGTAAATATGTTTACCTAAATGATTGAACAGTTACATGAAAAAAATTAATACTTCACTTTGATAGGATAAGTCGTTTCAAGTTGTTTTGTTCTTACTCACAAATCTTGATAGGATGTTTTGTCCTTATTTAGATTGTGTCAAGTCAAACACGCTTAATTTTGAAATTCTTATGATTTAAGCTTTTATTAACATGCTTCCATGATTTCACGACTTCTCTCATTCAGTTGTGGTACTGGTTCATCCATATATCTCTTACATCTACTCGAGCGTCACACATTTATTGCTATTTTAAGAGTTACTCCACAAGCGACTGAATATTCTACAAGAGTTTATTCAATCTTATCATACCATGTAATCCTTAAAAAAATGTTTTGAGTGAGTTATTTCAGTTTCGCTTTCGTTCTCTAGAATCAAAATTCAATCAAGTAAAGTCTTACTTAAAAATTCAAAAATTAATTATTTTATTTGTTGAGAACGAGTAGTTATTTAGTTTATAGGAATTAAAATAAAAAATTCAAAGAATAGATTTTTCTTTGTTAAAAAGATTGTTCTAGAAATTTTTTTCCTTCAAAATTTAACATAGAATTTTAAAAATTTATTAAAACTATATTATAAAACAAAAGAACAAATAATACATTTGAGTAATATAATATGTCTAAGTTTAACTTTTAAAAAGAGAGACAAAAAGTTAAATGGTTATGAAGGTGCTAAATAATTAGATTTTTTATTGTTTGGTAGATTAGCATAGAAGTCAAAAATAAATTAAATAAAAATAAATTCATCTTTTTTAAAATCTAATTATCCAATTAATTACCAAAAACACTTGTCACACATTCAATCCATATATAAACCCTTCGGTTTTTCCCCACCAATTTTCCTCCTCTTACTATTTACATGGAGCTTTTATTTCGATTTATTCAATTTTTTCTGTTTAATAATCTGAGTAGAAATCGAATCATCAAACTTTTAAAATTAGACTAATCTATAATGAAAGGAAATATTAACTTTTATATTTAATGCCATATGGTTGAATTATTCTTTTATTATTTCATGTTGGCCATATTTTAGATGGATTGAGTGTGGATTGTGGATTATATATGGATATGTTCAATACTTGAGATTTAAAATTCATATTTTAGTATAATTTTGTAAATTGAAAAAAAAAACATATTTTAATTTTTCCAACCTGAATTTGTAATGGTCACATCTTTATGGTCAAGAGGTTATAAGTTCGAATCTCTTGTGACTAAATTGCAAGTACAGGAAACCCTTAATTATTAATTATGTGTCAACCCGAACATAAGGATAATTTAACTGGTTAAGACACCTTATGTCTATGTCTATTAAAAGATCGTGAGTTCGAATTTCTATTCATTATATTGAAAGAAAGCTATTATTTATGTACTCTTTTTATACTTAAATGTGTTAAATTTGTGTCTATCAACTGTTACTCACCTGTGAATATATATATATATATATTTATTTATTTGTGGATGTTAAAAGAAATGAGTAAACTTTAAAATCTATCCGTGGGGTTTCTTTGGGGAAAGAATATATTGGTCAGATAAGAAACTTATTTATTGATAAATAAAAAGTGTAAACACAAGGGAAAGAAAGGAGTCTTGGCCTATACCTACACAAAAGTTATGACAAACTTTCGGTTAGGAATTTGGTTTTGGTCTTCAGCATCGATAGATCCAATGAACCATGTATAAGAATCTGGGTAATTACATATTTCTCAATCGATATGGTGCTAAGACCAACATACTTTGCTTGAGTTTGAAAAATGTTTCATTGAGAGTGACAAAAAATAGAGAGTTGTGGGAACGTCTCGTGCCAGGTATTTCCTCTTATTTATAGAGTGAGTCATCGGGTTAGTTTGAATAGACCAACTCGATCGGATTTGATTCGCTCGAATTTGGTCTAGTTGGGTGATTCGATCCAAATGGGACCCATGTTATTTTCTTAACTTCAATTTAATCCATGACTATTTGGTGCCATCATTTCACCCATAACACCATCCCATTGTTACAATGAGTTAATTGTATTGGTACTATAGCTACACGATAAGCACTATGGACTTTATATCCAACGATCAAAAGAAATATATCACCTAACAAGAAAAAAACATAATAAACTTTTTTCGTGGATAGGAAAATTATTATGTGCCTTGAATTCAAGGAGGAATCAAATATTACATGTTCTAAATTGAAAGGTCAAATTATTTTACGGTTGAAATAATGTGATTTATCTATCAAGCTATCGAGGACTTTGAGGGAAATCTATTCCAAAATTTCCAAAACAATTAAGATTCCTCCTAGGCTCCTAAAGAGATGAGATTCTAATAGGAATTTGCAATGGCATAAAGTTTGGGAAATTTAATTAGAGGGTAGTTAGCATTTGTTTATCAAGCTCCAAACGAAGAAGTTCGAGAGAAATCTAGTCCAAAATTTCTGAAACAATAACATTTCTCCTAGGCTCCTAAAGATATAAGATTCCAATAGGAATTGCTAAAACTTGGTCGATAAAGAGACTCTGGTTAGAAATAGCGTAAAGTCTTAAAAATTAATTAGAGATGAACTATTTATCTATCCAGCTATTGAGAAAGAAGTTTGAGAGAAATCTCTATTCCAAAATTTCCACAATAAGATTTCTTCTAGCTTCTAGGCTCCTAAAGAGACAAGATTTCAATGGGGAATTGTCCAAACTTGGTTGACAAAGAGATTCTTAGTGTTGGAAACCATAAAAGTCTTTGGAAGGGAGAAGCTATTGATGGAGAAGTTTGAGAGAAATCTATTCTAAATTTTTCGACACAATAAGATTTCTCTTAGGCTTCTAAAGAGATGAGATTTCAATAAGAATTGCCAAAACTTCCTTGGTAAAAAGATTTCTAGTATAAGAAATGGTATAATTAAAATCTTGAAAATTAATTAGAGAGCCTTATTTTTGCTAGGCAAAGATGTTCGATAATTTCTTATCATAGTTTCCATCCTTCGGCCACGAAGTCTTTCAAGTACTTGATGATATATCCTTCCATGAGTCCAGGCTTTGAAAATTTTTATTCACATTCAACGTCTTGGTCTTAATTTTCATTGAAATTCATGTTGAGATAGTTTTCTTCCTCTGATCTCTCTTGGGCAAAAAACACGAAGGTTACAATTTAACTGTTCCTAAAGTCACTTATAATCGAGTAAACTTATCGTTCTATGCCTGCAACATTATATATTAATAATTACCTACCATTTAAATGTGTATCAAATATAAAAACATACTTACAAAAATAAAACAATCATTTTATGTGCATTGAAACACACACTACAAAAACCGCGCCGTTTTAAGTAGGCGACGAAAATTCGTCTAAAGATAAAACAACGTCATTTTGACTTACTGTTTTTCATAAACGGCACCATTTTTTTCGATACTTTTAATGTGCGACGAAATGAATTTTCTATCACATTTTAGCGACGAAGTTTTTCGTGTCTTATGTAGAAACTTAAATACATTTTGTCGCATATTTTGCAATGTAAATAAGTTTTTGCGACGAAAAAAATAGTCTGATTTATTGTAGCGACGAGGTAACCCAATCGTGTGGTGGGAGTAGCTGAAGCAGTGCAAAACAACCAAAAATGAAAGACAATCCTTCATATATATTTTCAAATGCCATCAAGAGTGCATCAAGCACCACTCCACATGTAATGCTTTTATAACTACCAAAAATTTTCAATAATACAATAATTTAATTGAGTAATTCTCTTCCTACTTGACTAAATGTTTAAATAGTATTATTTTAGTTTTTATTTTTGACTATGTATATGACAATTTTAATCCATTTATTTTCATTTTATCTTTCGCATGACGCTTTGTTCATTAAATATTAAAAGATTTCTATTTATATAAATTTAATAAAGGAACAACGGTTACATAAACTAAGATTTTGAAAGTAAAATGACCAAAATAAAAAGAAGTAGAATCAAAAAAGAGTATTTAAACTTTGAATGATCATCAACTACATAACCCCACCACCAATACTTTCCAACCACTTTTCATTTAACATACTACTCAACAAACATGGAAAAAAAAACTTCAATTTAATTTGACTCTAAGCATCTTCTTGCTGTATAACTTTATTCTTCCCATTCACATAAATTATGATTAGTTACAAAGATTACCATGTATAGAACAATAGTTGAGTTAAATTTGGGAGGATGAAAGAAAAAGATCAAATTTTTTTTTCTTCTCTAAAAAATGAGAAAGGGTCAAAGGGGTGGGAGAGGTCCACCTAATCCGCAGGCTAGGCTGTTTGATATCTCGTGTTTGTTTGTGCCCGCAGTTGAAATTCCAATCCAAGTGATTGAGATTTCAGCAAGAAAAATAAATAAACGAGCCCCTCGAATCTTGGTCCTGCACCAACGGCACTCAGTGGCCGTCCCTTCGCCATTTCTCTCTCGGGATAGAATTTCGGATCACCGCATGACTCGTTCCTTCTCCCTCTTCAACTTTTTCTAACCGCTTTCGCCTCCTCATTCCTTTTTCTTCTCACGAAGGTTATAGGGTTCTTCTTCTCTCTCGATTCTTCTGCTTCCCTTTTCCCCTTTCTGGGTTTTGCTTCTTTGACCTGCCCCTCTTTACCCCCTTTTTCGTTTTTCCCGTCTTTGTCAGACAGATTCTTCTTTTTCCCCAATTGGGTTTTTGGGGTTTTGGGGGTTTTCACTTGTTCTTTAGCTTTTTGGCTGAATTTGTACTGGTGGGTTCTGGGTGTGTCTGTTTTTTCTTCGCCCCCAATTTCTGTGTACCATTTGTAGTGGTACGATTCTGCCTCTGTTGATGGCCTGTTGTTGATGTCTCTGGACGTTGAAGCCGGTTCGAGTTCAAAAGGGATCATGGGGTTCGACGAGAAAGACAAAGATGGGAAAGAAGACGCTTCACCAAAAGACGTTTCACAGCCCAAAAAAGCTGAGGATGAAGAGGACCCGGATGCGCCTGCTGGGATGAGTAGGAAAATGAGCGAGAACTCCATCTGTGCAACTGAAGAGGAAGACGACGAAGATGGAAGGAAAATCGAATTGGGTCCTCAGTACACTTTGAAAGAACTCAACGAGAAGGACAAGGTACTTACTACGACTACTACTTTCACTACTCTCTCTAATCTCTCTCTCTCTCTCTCTCTCCCTTCAGTTTTTTGAGACCCTTGTGAGATTTCATTTCTAGGATGATGAAAGCCTGAGGAGGTGGAAGGAACAGCTTCTGGGGACTGTGGATTTTGAAGCCGTTGGAGGTAGTAGTTCATTTTGAATTTGTAGATTTTTGGTTGTTCTTGTTTGTTTTCTTACAGAAATTTGCACTGTTTTTGTTTTGTTTGTGTATGAAACTGTGAACTAGAAACTCTGGAACCGGATGTGAAGATTGTAAGCCTTGCAATAAAATCGTCGGGGCGGCCTGACATTGTTCTGCCAGTTCCAGAGAGTGGGAATCCCAAAGGCCTGTGGTTTACTTTGAAGGAAGGCAGCCGTTATAGCCTCAAGTTCACTTTTCAGGTCAGCAACAACATTGTTTCTGGCCTCAAATATACCAATACAGTGTGGAAAACTGGCGTCAAAGGTAAAAAAGAAATGAGAAATCTCTCTGTGTATACTCTGTTTTGCTCTGTTTTTTCTCTCTCTCTCTCTCATTAATGGTGTAGTACTGTTGTTTTTTTTTACTGTTACAGTTGACAGTACAAAAGAGATGATAGGAACCTTCAGCCCCCAGCCTGAACCTTATGATCATGAAATGCAGGAAGAAACAACCCCTTCTGGCATCTTCGCCAGGGGATCATATTCAGCCAGAAGCAAGGTCAGTTGTAAATATTTTAGCCTTTCATGTTTTCAGTTTTTAAAAATTTGGATTTAGATTTTGAAGTTGTTTTGAAAAGTCTAAGACAGGAGAATGCCCTCCCAAGGGCAGCCCACTTGGCAAGTACATGATGTCTCTGACTTAGAATCTTCTATTGAACTTAATATCAAAACTCTTGATGTCTTCATGATCCGGACCTTGGGGCGGGCATGGGTACCCTTAGACATAGGAGAGCAAAACTCCGAATCCTCATTCTAAAAAAAAGACAAAAAGTAGTGGTAAACAGTAAATTGAGGAATGAGGCTACATAATGTGAAACCGTACTACCATCTTGAAAACCCATGAAAGTTGGGTAATCCACGTGGGATGATAAACTTACCTAACATGATTCTCAGTGAATTTGTAGAAATTTAGATCGAGTACTAGACTATGAAGAATCAGACAGGATATTAAATATTGAATTTGAAAGCTTTTATTAATTTCCTTTATGGAAACCAATTAAAAGCTCTCAATTTCAACTGCACCTGCTCATTTATGGCTTCCA